TTCAACATTTGGCACACTGAGACTTATACGTGTCCATGAAAGTGGCCCATATGTCAACGGTGCGGTGCATCGAATAGGACAACCCTTTGCGGTCGTATGAAGGGTTACGCCCTACAAAATACACGGAAATATACGGGTGTCCAGATGTATTACGATCGCAAAGGGTTGAACCTTCAAAATCTCGACAAAAGGCAGCACGAGCGATGCGTTGCTCGCCGCCGTGCAGCTGCACGTGGAATAAGATTTCCCGGTCTGCGTGGAAAAATCATAATTTAATTAAAGGAGCATCCCAGTTCCGTTTCGTTTCGGTATCGTCTCTCCGTTCCTCGAAATGACCGTCCCTCAATGTCGGTTCTGCGAAACCGAAGAAGGAAGCGACACGAGTGATTACACTAACCACTTTCTCGCGTTCGAGACGCCCCCGGGACGCCCAGGAAACGTAGGGAATGTCGATTGCAACTGCATCCGGCGGCGGAAGATACAGCCAGTAGGACGATGCAGCGGAGGCGCCACGTTGGCGGGCGTTAATAATGCAGAATACTGGGGCTGCGTGCCTTATCGCTGGGAAAAAATATCGAGAAGCGGACCCGCAAACAACGATATGCATTTCGCTACTAAAAACGATTAAACGTATGCGTAATAACTATAGGCTTTCTGATTGTGAAATATCGATCCAGTGAGTCCAATAAAATTAAAGTGTCCTAGAGAAAAACTAGAAAAGAGCTGGGGGAACGGAACCAAAGCCGGAAAGTGTACAACGGAGACCTGCTAAACACATCCGCATGAATTCTACGCTTTATCGAGCAGAGATATTTGGTTGTTCCTATTTTTCATTAATGATTAAATCATACCTAGGGTGAAATTGCAGTGGTTCGTGAACGATATTAGTTTGAAGTGGCACTTAGAACCCATGGACGCGCAGAACGCATGGAATCCGTACCCTGAATCGACCATGAAGACAACAGAAACGAAAAAGAAGATATAAAGAGGCTGTTTTCCAGATCTTCCTCCCTCGTTTACGCAGCGCAACGTCATGACAGCCACAACGAGGGGGAGGGAGAGAGAGAAATGAGAGTCCCTCTGTTCGTTCTCTTTTCATTGCATTCACGAGAATATGAAGAAAATGGTTGGGTGTACGGGGTCCATATAATACCCCTCCATGCAAGAAACCGTACCGTTTTGATCGCGCCGCCCCCGGGGCGTTAAGGAAGCAGGGGAGCCTTGATTGCAGCGCCGCATCCGGTGGCGGTAGTTCTAAATGCGGTATTTTACGTGAAAAAGAATAATAAAGGAAGATTATCGGTATTTTATTATTCTTAGTCTTTCGAGCCACCCTTTTCCCAAAGATTTACGAGAATATATAAATATTTATATTTCAAATACAATAAAAATAAACGTTCAGCAGGAAATAACTTGATGTTTAAAACTTTACTCTTAGTAAGTAATACCAATATACAGTTGACAAAGACTTGAGAAGCTTGGTGAATTCTAAGCCGAAATTTTTCTGTCCCGATATTTCACAAAAATTATCTAAGAAAAATCTATAGTCGTTTTACAGAAATTCTATATAATTCCTGACAATTATGACACTCCAATGATAAGTATATCTAGTGTGGTAGTGAAATTGTCGTGAACCTTGACTATGAGTTTTCTCATGAATTCTCGATGAATTCTAGCGTTATTTATGTAATATTATACGTTCTCCCGTATAAATTTACAGAGTATTTTCGAACATATTGTCGTACCCGGACATCCTGTGCACACTTATCTCCCAACAATCTTTTGTGTGTTTCTTGATAACAGTCAAGAGACTTCGAATAACAATTTTCAAGTCGGCGGTTCCTCTGTACTGACGTTCCCCGAAATAAAGAGCTATTTTTTGCATTTCGTTGTTCACTTATTTTACAAAATATATCTCGCGTCTTTGCCGAACCTATAGCCAGGGTTGAGTAATTTCGTGTTTTCGAGGTTTTTGACAAATATTACGTAAACCAAGTAGTTTACCGTAGAAAATTGTAGAAAACCAGTAAATTACGTTTCCAATGTAAAGGATGTTGCAGATATGCGATATACGGCATGCGCTAGGTTATGAACATCTTTTAACACATATGTAAACACGTAAATATTTGTACGGAATAGGACAATAATTTGGCGTTTGCGTTCCAAATTGTTTAGAATTTGACGTTTCCAATATGACGAATGCCACAGATGCACGGTGTATGTATCCGCTAAGTTTTATACGTCTTTTAGATATTACGCTCGCGTAGAAAACTAGGGACGTATTATACGATGTAATATACACATAGAAAACCACGTATATTACACCGTATAATGCGAAATCACCCAACCCTGCCCGGAGGATTTTGTCCTCGCCGGTCGCGCCACCCCCGGAAAGTTAAGGAAGCAGGGGAGCGTCGACCGCAGCGCCGCATCCGGCGGCGGAAGGTACCAAGCACGTCGCGAAGGTGGTGCCACGTTGGCGCGTAAGAGTGGGAGTTCGATCCGGCGAGAGGGGCCGAGGAGTCTGGTGGACCGAGTTCGTAGGAAGCGTCAACGCGGGATGGAATGCCTAGAAAGTGATCGGCAGCTCTCCGCTTCTCGGCCGAGAGCGAGCGCCGCGAACGATCTTGAAAGTCGGTGGAGGCGGCGATCACGCGAGTCGGCACCCGAGAAAGGAGCGCGCAATCTCTCTCGATCGTGAAAACGGCCTTCCCCGTCCTTATCCACGTGGGTCTCGTTTCGGACTAATTGCTGGCTAAGTGGCTCCGTCGCGGCTTATCGGTTTGATTAGAAGTCGACGGGGTTTTCAGCTCTCGGACGAGAAAAGGGGAGAGAAAAAGCCGCCGCCAATTAGATCGGCGTATGCGATTACGGTGCGCCGATGTTTTATCCGTCGTCGCTGCGGGATGTGACGGAACCGACGCGCCGTGTGGCCCCTAAACCACGTCCGGCGAGCTGTCGTTCTTGCCCGCGTTTTTGCGATGGCCCCGCTCGATACGTTTGGCACCTCGTTTGCGGAGCTCCGTGCAGAAGATGCCTCATATTCGCGTAACTGGAACTGCAACTTTCATCGGACGGCACCGGAGACATCGGGCACTCCCGGTAATTGGCCGAGAGCGTAAACGACGGCTGCTCGAAATACCCGGCTTCGAAGGAAATTGACCGATGCGTCTTTTACGGCCACCGGAGCCGCGCTCGCCCGAGAAAGTCAAAAATCGACGCGTTGAATCTACCTCTATATTTTCACGAATAAAAAATCTAGGAGAACGAAGCGGCTCGATGTTCTTTGCAAAAAGTTATTCTCCGAGGTATAATTGAATTACTCAAGCCTCGTAATCGCGCAAAACCCAATTTACTCCCGGGATGGAAAGGACCTAGTGGTCTTTTTAGGCCCACTTCGAGAAAGATTTCGTCAATCTCCGAGCCTAATGGGAGGGAAGAGAGGTCATCGGGATGGCAAGAAGTGCAGGGGAGAATAACCTGCGCTCACGATCGCCCGGAGAGTATCGCAATGGCGGAGGGTCGTTTCTTTCTCCTTTTTGCCCCTTCCCGGTCTACGTGGGCAACAATGTTGCGGCACTTCTGACTCACGCTCGAGTTTCGCCGATCGGGACCCTCGACGTTATCTTCTCGACTACATTGCCCGCGTTTTTCATTTCTTCCCCCCCCCCCCCCACGTAACGTTCTTGTCGCCCTCTCGGGCATAATACGGTGAGACACTTTATGCAACTTCGCTTCCGGAGAACTGGGTTAATCATTTCTGAGCTCCGATAGGTTTCCCATAGTCGTTAGTCTTTCAACGCTCGAGTACGTTTCGCTCGAAAGTATCTCGTGAGTACTTCGAGAGATTCCGCGTACATCATGCGTAAACGCACGTAATGCGACCATTCGAGGTACATTCCGAGAACAATACGTTGCACGTACTCATTGCCTCGGCGGAATATCCTGCGAAAGTGGCGATATTTTACGGGATATTAAAAAAATCGTAAGCACGTCCGTAAAACGTCCCACGCGAGTTCGTGGCGCATACTCGATTCCGCGAATACTCGTGGATGTTTAGGGAACAATGGGATAAGACTCGTGCTCTATCTCGGCATTCAGGGCTGATACAAATCGTCATTTCTTTAAAGAAGGAAAAAATCCTTGATTTTTCTAATCGTGATCGTAATCACGATTTTCTGAATATTTTTATCATTCGTATAAAGGCATTTGAAAGATCGGGTTAAATCAATGTTACTCAAAATTATCATAATTTGTTTCCACGAGTCGAGAACATACGAGTCACTATCTGATCATTCCCATTTTGCAGATATGTAGAAAGAAAAGTTTCTTCATACAAGCTTGTACATTAAAATATTAGGAACAGACCGTGCAATCAAAATGCATCCAAATTAGTATTCTTGTTAAACGTTACAACGGTTAAGCTCTATTTAATATGTTTACCGTTCGTTTGGAAATGGTGTTTCTTGATGTTTCTCTGCGCGTAAGGTTTTTTTTTACCCAAATATTTAAAGAATATCGGGCACTTCTATTTGTGCAAATAATGATTACAATTATAACATTTCATTTTTGTTTGCAGTCCTAAAAATCATGATCGTGTCGCTTGCTTACACCTTTACATATTATTTTTTATAAAAGCGGTTGTAGATACTCGAAACACATACCTAATGCTAATGACACGTTATAATGTAATTGCGACACACCTTGCTGGTTGTAACGTGCAACGTGTTTTCATAGTGGCACTTTCGACGCCCGCTCTCTCTAGTAACCAAAATGATAAAAAAATAAACATCAATGATTTCACTCGAGTTTTAAAATTAAAATCTCTTGAACTAAATAGATGATTTTGAAAAATGAAAATCAATTGATTAAAATCGATGATCTTAATATTAAGGTCGATCATACGAATTAAATTAGCTCATTTCTGTCGGCATTCGTTTCGTTTCGCAGCAGCCGGCTTATACGGGGAAAACTGACGGTCTTTTTATCTATGGTTCCAGGTGGCAGGATGAGACTGTTCAAGAGACGCTCCTCGGACCCCAGCCCCAAGCTGGTGTCGGCCACGCCGATCCCCCAGGACGGAGTTGCGGCCACGAGCGCAGCCAGCAACTCCGAGGATGCCAGGCACTCGGCAGTCGAAAAGAATTTAACGAGCGAAACGCCCGAGAACGATGTTGCCGCGGAAACCGGGCAGCGTACCTTGGCGCAACTATCGTCCGTTTCAGCTCGTAAAGGTATCCGTAGTTCCGGGGTGAATATCTCTCGCCGCGTTATTCGTTCTCCGTTGTCCGGCGGACTCGGGCTCTGCGCGCTGCAGCGAGTCGCGATCGAAAGCTCGACGGCATGACTTAAGTTCTTCCGGTTTCAGGAATCTCGACGTGGGGCCGAAAAGTCGGCAGGAGGTGGGACCAGCTGAAACGATCGGACAGCTCCGAGTTGCTCTCGGTCTCCGGACGAAGTCGGCGATGGAGTCCAAATCGAAAGAGCTGCAGCGACGTCACGGACGAGAAGGAGAAGGTACAAGAAATTCCGTTTCGAGTTTCTCTCTAAACCGCGGGCCATTAACCGGATCGGCTGGGTTTGTTGGTTTTGCTGGTTCCGCGTAACGCGATGGGCTAACATGGCGCGTGGGACTTCCGAGTCGACCCTTATGGGGTAGAGTCGACGCGGAAATCGTGGCTGCGAAATGTTGATGGTCGTTTATCAGCGCGACTGAAGTTCTCCGAGAAAACGGGTTGGACTGATTCGAGATTTCTCTCCCGTTAGGGGTGCAACGTTTCCTTGTCACCGGAGTACTCCAAGCCGAAGAGGATCTCCCGAGTGGAGTCTTTGAGGAACCTGTTTAGGATCGGCGAGAGGAGCAGCTGCTGCGACATGTCTTCGAAAACTGTCACCATTCAGGAGGAAGAAACGATTCACAATTACGCGATGGAGAAGGCTCTGAGCGAGGGGGCGCTGAAGAACGTTCCCTTTCGCGACTCCTCGGTCCATCGGGTGGATCGGGAAGCGCTGCACGAGAAGAAGAACCAGCTCAGCCGCAGCATCCAGGATCTGCAAGAGCAGCAGCGCGTTCTTGACTTTATCCTAACGAATCAGAGTATACTTAAGACCGAAGAGGGCGAGGCCCTGGCTCGGGACACTTTGGACAAAGTTAGGCGCAGCACGAGTCCTCGTCGTCGCGCGTGTTCAAGTTCCGAGAACACGAAGAAGGACATGCTCCTTCAACATCGCGTCAGCTCCACGTCACTTAAGTTGAATAAAGGCGAGACGTTTAAGCGATGTATCAAGTCCACTTCCGAAGTGCACCTGAACAAAGACTTGAACCTGGAGCGTTCAATGAGTTGTACGTCGGTGGACTTAAATAAGACCGTCAGGCCTGAGTCAACTACAAACGTCGCGTCTATTGAGACCAATAAGAACGATGTTACCTTACGAGCGCAAGTTGCCGTCAAAAGAAATCTGTTTGACTCGCACTCCTCTACCAACGAAGTCGACAAGTGAGTAATAAGACTACTTGAGTATATCGTCGGTTTGAAATGACACGTTCGATAACAATGAAATGGGTATATTTGTACCGACTACTTTGGTAATTAAATATGTTATTTTTTTCTAGAACCGAGGAACGGAAATCCGGGACGACGACTGGCCTAGACGACCTTATGAGCAACTTGAAACTGGGCTGCGACGAAAGCGGTTATGATTCCGACAGCACTAGGACAGGAGCCGATTCTCCCGACAGCGGAAAGTCCGTACCTCCCATGTTAAAGCCCCGCAGTTTTTCCATAACATCCGATGATTATCAAGGTATCGACCTATCCCTGCCGGTTAGCACGCCGAAAAAGAAGGGTGCCGCCCCCGGTACCAATGACACGGAAGACTGTCACGCAGAGGAGACAGGTGTCGGTACAGGTGACGCTTTCAATGATTCCGTTCGCACGGAAACCACGACCCTGGCGTACGATGACGACGATACCGATAGTTACGACGAAGACACGCTGGATGTATTCAATGAGCCGCCTTTTGCTGGGCATTTTGTGCAAACCTCGCCGAGATCCTCCTCCACGTTTCCGCGAACACCAGGACCTGGCACCAACGCGAAGAAAACGTCCTCGGGGGATTGCGCTAATTACGTTACTACCGCGGCCGGTATTCCACGTAATCCGGAAATCTATAATACTCCTACAAAACGACTACCGCTCCGGCTTGTGGAATCTGTACCTCTGTCGCAGAGAGTTAAGATACAGAATCTGCAAAAGGACGCAAAAGTTCAGGTCCCGGTTAAGGGCCGAAAGCTTTCCAGTGGTAGCTTGTTAAACCTCCTGGACAACGCTGCTTCACCTTGTAGGGATAGTCCCCCGGCGAGTAAAATATGTTCCGCTTTAGCCATGGACGTAGTTCAATACTACAGCCCTAAACGGTCCCGCGCGGTAATGGAATCGGATATCGGCGACGGGATTATCGTCAGGAATAAGGCCAAGAGGTCCATTCTAACAGCTCAGGCGCCTCCACCGGCTCCTCCACTGCCTCCTCCTGTTTCTGCATCGAAGCCATTGATTCGACGGGAATTGAAGACAATGAAACTTTTCGTAGAGAAGCCTGGGACCCTGGGTATTTCCATGGAGAAATGCGAAGCTGCGAGGCCGTTCTACGTTATTTCTAAAATAGATCCCAACGGCGAGGCTGCAAAGTCTAATCAAATACGAATTGGCGATGAAATAGTTCGCGTATGTGGACGCCGGTTGCGTGGAATGTCAGTCGCGGAAGTAAGACACGCTCTGAGAAGTTGTTTCGGATCCGTGGAGCTTCAGATCGCCAGGGAACCTACGTTCGTCTTTGGCGAAGAACCGGGAGACACTTGGGGAGATACCTTGATGCGGACAAAAAGCGACACCGATGTCTGGACTTTGAAGGAATCGGCTAATGATCGAACCTCAATGGAAAACTTGCCTAGTTTTGAAAACGAGGACTCCGCCGCTTGCATAATCGTGGGGGCTTTAACTAAAGATGGGAAGAGTGTATCCGTCAACACCATGAATCAACTGGAGAAGGTACGAGAGGATATCGAGCCGTCCAGCGAGCAGAAAATGACTGGGATGAAGAAATTCCAGATAGTAAAGAAGAAGAATCAAGCTACCGTCTCGCGTCCTCGAAGAGCCACGAGTCTTTCCATGGACCTGATCACCATTATGCTTGAAAAAGGATCTACAAAAAAGTTAGGATTTTCTATGGTCGGAGGGGCGGACAGCAACAAAGGCAAAATGGGGATCTTTGTCAAAAACATCATGGCCACTGGTCAGGCTGCGGAAGAGGGGACATTGAGAGTAGGAGATGAAATACTTTCGGTCAATGGTATCTCATTAGATGGGTTGACACATGCCGAGGCGTTGCAGACCTTCAAAACGGCGAAGTCTGGAAAGATGATCCTTCACGTGGGACGCAGAGATCCGACCCATAAACGGTTGTTCACCCGCTAAGACTAAAGAATTCGTAACCCTAGGTTAGTCTTTCTGTTCTGCTTTATTAACAAATCCTGTCGCTTCGTCCTTTGTTTTTTATCTTTGAACCTTTCCTACACTTGAGTCGTTTCCGTAGTCGAACGTTCTTTTTTTACTAATGTTTGCATTTCCTTGTTGCAGATATATTGTTCAGTCGAAGTCGTACGACTGTTTGGACAAACTGACAGAATGCGGGGAAGAGTGAAGAATGTTTAAACGAAACTTGACGTATTTAGTTTAGTTACTTGTGTACAGCGACTTTCCTCGGAGGATTATGTATATTTATCGAAGGAGAGGGATGTATATATTGTGTTTTCGTTTTCTTTATTTCGGTAACGATGGAGATTCTCGCGCCGAATCTTCGATGGAAGTTGTGATATTTAATTATTAATTATAAAGGAAACGTGATTCTTGTGTAATAAGTGTAAGTAAAGATGATTTATTTCAAGAGTCATGACTTGTATGCATACTATGATGGTGTTTAGCCCTTTGAAAACTGAAAAGTCTGCACATAATTTGCAGCGATATCGACCGATCATTTAGTTGGTGAATTTCGGTGTCCTACTTTCGTTGACATCTTTCTGATTTGACGAGCTTCGACATTTTCCGTTGCTTGCCAAATAGAAAATGAGCGTGTATTTCCTGGCCGCACGACTATAAATCTGAAAGTAAGGAACGCTGTAGACATTTTCAGTTTTCTTCACAAGGCTTTTGAACCGATTCACGTCGAGGATCCTATCGTATTATTGTAAGTTGTACAGTCGGATGAGCTTTTCCTGTTAGACAAGCGGTAAGCTAACATTGGAACACAGCTCCGTGTTACCGTGGCTAAACCTTAACATATGTTTTTATTTTGAAACATAGACTTTGCATAAGAGTAGCCACCGTACTATTCGGTACTTCAAATAGATTAATCTTGATGAGTACGTATACTCACTACTTGGATATACATAATTAGAATTAAGACGTGCTAGTGTAGATAATTATTCGTTAAGCTACCGAGACTGACCTTCGGAATGTCTACCTGACAAAATGCTGTGATACGGATTGTAGTCACATTAGCCGATACATCGTACAAATGGTACTTGTGTGCATCCCATGCCAGAAACTATGTCTAAGAATAAAGTGCATTTTGTTAACGCGAACCTGTTTCGCCTTTCGGTAGCATTGTCTCCACAGCACAGTTGCTAACTCGAGAATCAAATTGTGTTTCGTGAGATTTCGTGAATGTTCATTATAGATATTATGTTTCATCTTGTTATTTTGTTTAATAAAATGCGTCTTTTTCCGGAGTCAACTTCATCTTCAATACTGCGTAAACTGCGGAAAATAAAGCACAGGCCACGTCACTTCTTCGACAACGGTACCGTCTTATGCGTATGCAAGTATTTTCCCTTTTTCAAAATCAATTATTTCCACCCCGTGCTTAAAATATAAGTTCACATTTTATGAGTTTGTATTTTGGATATAAATACGCGTTACACTATTTTTTCACGTCTAACTTATAAATGGCATTTGTACTACGCGCACGATGTTGCAATACACCCTACGGAAGGCGTGCATAGTCATTAAAAATTACTCTACTGGTATAAAACAATCGAATTTATTGTTTCTCACTCAAAACGCAAATTCCTCGATACTCCGATCCGTACCGCGGTTGCACAGTTGTAATACACTAGTATTTGGTCCATGACTGGATCCGTGGATGGTACTAGTGCTCGAGGTTGTACGTACTTCGTAACTGGTACATAATTTCCTTTTCGGCTTGGCAGCGGTACGTGCAGGGGGAAGTGGCGGTATGTACACGAAGACAACTGCGGTAGTGGTATTTTCTGTTCTGCGGTCCCATTTGGTGGCATTTTCTCTTTTGCGGGTTTCCTGGTTGTGGTGGTGCTCAAAGTCCTTATATTGGTATATACGTTGGTTGCGGTCTCGGTGGTGGAAGGGGTGGTGCAGGAGGAGATGGAGGTCCATACGATAGTGGCGGCGGTGGTGGTGGAGGTGGAGGCGGAGGTGCAGGTGGTAAGTACATTTGGGGGGGTGGTGGTGGTGGTGGTGGTGGTGGTGGTGGCGGTGGTGGTGGTGGCGGTGGCGCCGAAGACGACGTCGCCGTCNGCGGTGGTGGTGGTGGCGGTGGCGGCGGCGGCGGAGGTGGCGGTGGTGGTGCAGGTGGACTTGCATAATTGTAACTGGGCATCGCAGGTATCGGAGGAGCAGGACTTGGATATCCGGCAGCTGGAGGTGCAGGACTGGGATAGTTATAATTAAGTGGTGCTGCAGGTGCCGGACTAGGATATCCATTGCTGGGTGGTGGTGGGGCGGGTGCAGGATATCCATTGCTGGGCGGTGGTGGAGCGGGTGCAGGATATCCATTGCCGGATGGCTGTGTCGCGGGAGCGGAACATCCACTGTCACACCCTACAGGGCCGGAGGATGGAAATCCTTGAGTTTGATCAAATCCTGGAGAAAACGTCACTCGCGTGTGCACATAACTAGTAGGAGTCGAGGTTTGCCCCACACCAGCACTGGCAGCAGCAGCAGCTATCGCTACAGGTAATACTATTGGTGGCGATATAGTCACTATTGTTCCTTGGGGATGCCCATAATTTGTTGATGGAATGACCGGTGGAGCAGGCGGTAAATATGTTGCTGGTGGCCGTGGTGGCGGTGGAGCTTGTGGCAGGTACATACGAGGCGGCGGCGGCGGTGGCGGGGGTGGTGGCGGTGGTGGTGGCGGTGGTGGCGGTGGTGGCGGTGGCGGTACGGGACGTTGACGGGACGGTGACGTTTGACGTTGCCCATCGCCGACGGCCGCAGCGTTGCACAGAAGCGGGCAACGGAGGTGGTGGAGGAGGTGGCGGAGGGGGTGGAGGTGGTGGAGCAGGTGGGAAATAAACTGGGGGTGGTGGCGGTGGTGGTGGCGGAGGGGGTGGAGGTGGTGGAGCAGGTGGAGGCCCGTAACTAGACGGTGGAGGTCCGTAATCACGTGTCGGCGATGGCAGGGAGAAGGCAATTGTCGGCTTGTCGTAAGAGTATCCGGCCTGCCGAACTATCCGCACGCGAAGTCCGCAGACGCAGCTCAGAAGTATCAATACCCCCAGCTGAAGAGAGGAGATTATGGTGTTCAATAGTTCATTTGCGGAAAACACATGTATAAACGTAGCAAAAGCGAAAGTTTAACACAAATCACAAGAAAATGAAATCACTCTCCTCATCGTATTCGACCTGTACATGCTCTACTCGATACCGACAGACTTGGTTCCCGAATGTTAGAGCTCCCAATCTATACTATTTTAAAGTAGACATTTTCATCCCGCGATGCCCGCAGCCAAACTTATATTATTTAAAACCTGACTCTTCCAGCTTTCCTTGTAAATATTCACTTGCCATTAGATTATTCCAAATAATATAATTCGCGTATCCGATTCTCTTTATGCACGTAAAAAAACACGTCATCCCTATTCACCGAAACGGTATTTCGAAATCGAATACGTCCTACTCTTATCCGTCACTTTCCAAGTTTCAAATAATTATAGGGCGTCTAAAGATCTTTCAAAAGAAAATTCTGATTTATCACGGTTATCCACGGTACCGGCACCTCGTAGCACTGACTTACCCATTGCAATGGTAGCATAATATCCTCTCGTATACCGCCGGGGAGACATGGCGGAGGCTTTTATACGAAGACGTCGCACATCCCGAATCGCGCTCTACCCTGACGTTAAACCGCACGCATAATGACATTGTGTCTAAAACCGCGTTTTGCCTAAATTACGCGAGTCAATTCGCAATCGCGGCCGATTGCGCCTCGCCATGAAATTACTGCCATTAGATCGGGGGTGTCGGATTTTTACGCGGTTAGCCTCGTTTCACGATGACAAAACGTTTCATGGTGAGGCAATCGCGGGCAGCCTTTTCTCGTGCTCTCGAAATTACGCGAGGAGCACTTTTCAGAACGTCATGGAACGTTCGAATAGCGTCGTGCACGTAACCGCGCATTTCTGTGCGGCCCCTCGCGCTAAAAGTAAATCAATTTGAACGAGAACGAGCTTATTTATTCCCGTTCGACTGGATGTCGAAGTACACTTACGAGTGCTTTAATTATCGGCAATTAGCGGTATAAATATCATTTACCGGAGCCAAGTGACCGGGGCTCCATATACAGAAGTCGAGTAATTAGAAAGGCTTCCATGTGATGTAAATATGTAAAGGGGTCGTCTTCATTATTTCGGAAACGGGTAATTGGTGCTCGCCCTGGTACCATTACCCTAATCTCGAGAGCATTATTCGATCCGGAAGGTGAGTCGCCCTCCGAATACCACCACGTAATGATATCGTAACGCTTAATGTTATTTCTTATTATTCCATTTCCCGATATTGACAATTGAGGCGTAGTTGCCGACATCGTGGACCGTTCATTTTATTAATATGGAAATGTATTCACGCCCGGCTACCTAGTTAACAACCAGGGCTGGTCTCGGAGGTGAGCAGAGTGGGCGGCCGCCTAGGGGCGCACTACCCACGTCGGGGAAGGAATTTTTCATATCAATAATACGTTACATCCGTTTATTACGCGCCTTTTGGTACTTAAAACCGTCTTTTAAGCTGTACAGGTGAAGCCCACGGTTTATCCGGAGATTCGAAAACTCCGAAGCCAGCACGACCAAGATGAGCGAATGTCCGTCTTTATCCCTTGAACAAGCTTTACGCTTTCATAAAGGACGCTGCAATTTGTCTCGCGATCCTCAAAGTGCTACCGGCGAATCTGCAGAAGGCCAACGAAGCTACCGCCTTCATCCGGCCGGTATCTACAGGGATCTTTCTCATCCGATCGCTTTAATCTACTTAATAGCGGAATTACCGGAGCTTTTCCCGGAGCTAGCCAAGAAAGCTTGCCTCGCCACTAGGCACGGCAAGTTCCTTCGTTGCTCCTTCATTCCTGGGAAAATGCTCGACAACGTCCGAACCCTCCGCTCTCGCAAGCTCCCTTTGATGATATCAACAGTAACCACCGAAACAAACGAATACGCCAGGAATGTTTCTCCGTGGATTAAGTACCGCAGGGCGCGTCGCGCGAAAATGGAGTCGAGACAGCAGCTCGGTGAAAACGGTTTCACGTAGCAAAAATAACGAGAGCCAAATAAATCGAGATTAAGGCCGTGTACGTAGTTATTGCTCGTGTTTAAGTTTATTACTCTTCTGGAGAATCTTGCATGGCGCTCATCTAATCTCTTTAATCTACTTAATAGCGGCATTACCGGGGCTTTTCTCGGAGCTGGTCGAGAAAACCTGCTGCTGCACTTGGCGGCTCTCGGCTCTTCGGTCTTTGCGGGAAAGCGCTCGGGAATTCCTTAACTGGTGGCTCTGGATGTTCCCTTTGAGGACATCTGAAATTATAACCATTAAAATGGATGGACGTGCAATAAATATACCGCGGGCATTTCTTCTTTGGGGGTGATGCATCGGCTCGAGTCTCCAAGTGGAAGTGGAGTGGATGCTTTGGGTTTAGACGGAGTCCTGGTAAAGGTGACCGGATAAACGGATAAACAGGAAATATAGTTAAGTGGGTCTATAGAATTGCGGGTCGTGTATGTCGTGAATGCCGGAGGTGGACTGTTTTGACGAGCACATTTTTGTCGAGCCTCTTCCGGGGTGGTCCTTTGAAGAGGCTGCAGGTCTGAAATGAAACAGATGTGGAGGACCGCAATAAGTCAGCAAAGCACTCCTCTGAAGAGTTCGGTTAAAAAGGAAAGGAACGCTCGGAATGGAAGGTTTGAGTTTTTGAGGAAGTCGTGTCTGTTTCACAGATGTCCATGCACTCGGTCACGCATTCGTCCCCTTTGAGTTATTTCTACAATGTATCGGGACGGCAGCGTCCCATCTTTCTTCGATTCTTGTATCTGCGTTACAAAGCAATAGAATTACTTCTCGCGGGCAACGATTCACGTATTAACCCCGGTTGCCGGTGCTTAACCTCGGAGTTCGGTTAAATTTACGAAGTTGCCAGCTAACGGGAGGCTAAACGGCCTTCCTGGAACAAGGAATTAAATCGGGGATTAAAAAAATTTGTCGGGGGGCCCGTAATTTTTTTTTACTCGCCGTGAGAGAAGTATCAGCTCTTTAGTGCCGTGATGTTTCTTTGGTAACGATGGCCGACCAGGTGAATGGAATCTTTACTAATAAGAATGCGTATATGTAAGGGCCATTTTATTTCTACATTGTAAAGTACAGAGTGAACGATAATACAACTTTGTCCCTCCTCGGTGGAAATACTTTATTATTTACACTTTAATACCGTGCTGATGTCTGTTCTAACTAAATGTTCGTCACGGGATATAGCGTACTTAATGGACACGGGTGACCTGGCACTTTTCCACATTTTCACGTATGTAGTTGCAATTATTAACTCTCAACTCGTATCGGTGGATCTTTCGGGTTCGATCGAAATCTGTTATCCATAATATCTTCAATGGTTCTTTTAACGCTAATTTGTTAAAAAATTTATTTAAATATTGTTTTTCCTCTTTTAAGCTGAGGACCTCTTACTAGAAGGTTCAATGAATATTTCGGTAGAAATTGACCTCACTTACACAATTAAATTTGACCAACATTATTTAATAAGCCCGGGACACGAACGACCCATGAACATTAGTTACGTTAATTGAGAACCTCGACATGACTAGAGGGTCAATTGTCGGAAAGACGAGAAAATGTGAATTTATTTTTTGAAAAGAGATTTATATTATTGTATACATTTATGATATGCTACCGAGGGACTGTTCACTCGGAAATCAGTGAAAACGATTTCCTTCTTTGAGAATTGCCTTTGACTTCACATGATAAACAACAATGTAATTCGGTAACAAGGGACGTGCGGCCTTAAAATTGTGACAACGTTTCGGCGATTTATAACTATTTCAAGTGATATCTGCTAGCGATTTCCAGCTGATTTCCACATTGAGAAAAAAAAATTCATTGAACCAAAGAAATATTTCTTTGAAAAGTACCAAAGAAATATTTCGTTAACTTCAAGAATAATTATTTGTCATAACTCCGAATAAATGTTGCATCCAATTTATTCGAGTACTTGAGTCATATAATTATTTTTTGAATTAACAAATTACTTCTTTGGTATTATTCAAAGAAATATTTCTGTAGTTTAATGGAATTTTGTTCCCAGTGCACGTGATTCCGAGTACTAAAATCCATGATTTCCTCAGGGAATAACCCCTCGTATGATACGGTTTAAGGGTTAAAAGAGGTGGAGGGGGTGGCGTTGGGATCCCCTCGTACCATTTATGGAGCGCCTTGTACCATCTCGGCGTCGCGAGTCGCCAGTTCGCTCCGCAATTATTGGCACGAGAGGGCTCGGTCTCGGCGCGCTTAGGGCTCACGCGAACCGCTATTGGCTCCCATTATCCTCCTAACCGTCGCTGTACATGTGCCAGATGGTCAAGTCGTGCCAGTTGAGACAGTTCTCTCTATTTCGTCCGCGCGGGGAGACCTTGAACTTGGCCTCGCCGCGTCTGGACCCTCTCCGAAGATCGGGGCCGATTCGGCCCGGATCTCAAAATTTGGCTGCATCTGGCGCATCCTAATCGTTCCGGCTTCGGTCACGAATACCCCCTCCGGCGAGACACGCTCGGAAGATGTGGCGAGAGATTGCGGCTTTTTTTATGGTCTTTGTCC